GCTTATTCATCAGATCAATCAGAGATTGCAGATAATTTAGAGTCGGCAGCAGAGTTATGCCGACCGATGCCGATTAGAGTTGGAATTTTAGGTCGGCAATATGATACTACTAAAGGTCTCACCCTGGAAGGATGTGATACTCTTCAGGAAGAGGCTGAAATTGGGCCCCCGGTATACTGGACCGTTCCTTGTGATCGCTAGGGTAGGCAGGGTGGCCTACCGATTTGATTTGCCGAGTGTCAGCCAGATCCACAACATTTTCAATGTTTCACAGTTGTATAAGTGTATGTTGGACGATGAGGTAATGGTCGTCTTGGATAATATTCAAGTTGATGAGAGCCTGAATTATTTTGAGAGGCTGGTAGCGATTGTGGAAAGGTATATGAAGAATCTGCACAACAAGGAGATACCTTTGGTAAAGGTTCAGTGGAAGCATAGGAAAGGCTCCGAGTGGACATGGGAGTCGGAGGAAGAGATGCGGGAGCATTATCCTGAGTTGTTTGCGACGGCCGATTTCGAATATGGAGTCTAGTTCAAGTGTAGGAGAATTGTAGCATCCCAATGTTGAGGTATTTTTAATTGTAACCCTATGTATGATTAAATATTGCAATTTAGTCCCTGAGTATAAGAAAGAGTATAAAATGGCCCATCATGGCATTTTGTATAAGAAAAAGTATAAAATGGCCCATAATGGCATTTTGGTAATTTTGGCATTGGAGTAGTACGTTGGACGTATGTTGCTTACACTGAGTACACCTCGTACGTTGGGTGTACGTGGAGAAACTCCAAACCCTTATTTTTAGGGTTTGGTCCATATATAAACACCATTATGGTCTCACTTATCATTCTTCATTAGCCCCCATCTGAGATTTCGACCCTATATCAAACCCTAAGTGAGAAAGTATGTTTTGAGCTCATTTGTGTGCCTTTCTGGTGTTCTTGAAGAAGGAGAAAATGGTGCAAGAACCTTGAAGCTTGGAAGCAACTTAGATATGGGATTCCATACTTGCTAACAACATCTTGGAGGTAAAAAGTTCACAACTTGATCACTCAAGCTTGTAGATCTAGGCATTTCTTCCTTTAGAGCACTTTTGGTCCCAAATATGGTGATTCCTAAGCATGGCATGTTCTTGATCAAATAAGTCGTCATTTTAGACCTTATAGGGGGTCTTAAGTCATAAAAATGTGGTCTTGATGCTCAGTTTTACTCCATACATGCTATAGAAGATCTTAAAGCATTAAGATGTTGATATTTTGGGTTTTAACAACTTAATGGACATGCAAAGTCATAAATTTGGAAACTTTATGACTCAAGACGATATCATGGCCTTGGATATGCATTTGGATGTGTTAAGTCGAAGAAATAAGTGCTTAATAGGCTAAGACGAGGGTTGTTGCGTACGCTGGGAGTACCATAAAATATGTTTTATGTATGAAGATTTGGCCTCGATGCCTCGAAAATGCTTGTACGCCCCTCGTATGAAGCCTAAGTCAACTCGACTGAGTTGACTTGACTGTGTTGACTCAGTTGACTTTGATATGTTTTGACCAAGGGTATTTGTGGGGAAATGTTATTAATTTAGAATGGAAATGTTCTGACATTTAGGATTTGGGTTGAGCTGATATTTGGAAGCAGAGTATTGATCAGATATTCGTCAGACTATAAGGTGAGTTTCCCTCATTGTACTACAAGTCGAAGGCACCAATATCGGCCCATTGGATTGATATCCTGGTTAACGTGTGATGTTGTCTTGTTATGATCTGTTAGATCTTTATGATTATCTGTATTTGCTGGCTTTGTGTTCCTGTTTATTTGTTGCATATGTCGACATGTTGGTTTGGGTCAAGGAGGTCCTACTTTGTGTTGTAAGCCATAACACCCCGGTGTCGACCGAATAGGCTGTAGGCCCTGCGAGATGGTCCAGTCAGGTCAGCAGCCCGTAGAGAGGTTCACATAGGCTGTAGGCCCTGCAAGGCGGTCCATTCAGGTTGACTGCTCGTGGAGCGGTCCAGATAGGCTGTAGGCCCTGCGAGGCGGTTCACTCAGGCCGACTGCTCATGTTCGCATGCTTGTCTGTTTTGTTTATGTGGTGGTACTTTAAGGAACTTATTAAGGATTGAATTACATTCTTAGTTTCATTTCAGGTACTTCAGAGGTCTGCGACAACGCGAATGTTTAACCGTACACATCCTTAGGTTTATGATTTATTGGATCGTAGGAGACTCTGTTTTTTAATAATGATTTGAAAACAATGATTATGTAAACACTTCCTTTTAGTAAATAGATTGTTTTAAAAAGTTTAAATTTAATGTTATTTTTGAGACGTTACAACTTGACTAATTCAAGTATATGATTTAGACACATAAATAATTGTTTCATGTGATTGTATATGTACATATCGTCTCATTTAAAAATAAAGACAAACACATTCTGAAAATTAAACAAATACCATGGAAGTTGGTAACATTTGGCCACATTTTTCGACAGTGGCTCGTCATTATCACGTTTTAATACAAAAATTGTGGTTAAGGTTTTCGAAGAAGTATACAATTGTCACATGTATTACAAATAAAATATGGCTAAGATCATGCAATATTTTTCGTTGGTGAGCTTTAGCCATACAAATAATCGTAAGTGTAGCATGGCTATTTTAGAAAAATATGTACTTGTAGATCATTTTTGTACTAGTGTAGAAACCCTAAGATTCAAAACGACGAAGGAAGGGGAAGTTTTTTATAATCATATGCTCGTCATTACATTCTTTTTAATTAATACAAAAATGGGTTTTATTCATCATTAAAGTTGGTTTATATTTTATAATACTTGTTATAGAAGGATTTTCCTTTAGAAATTGACTCACTAATCCATTAGTTCAGTACCCGACATAACCTGCATATCAGAGTAATTAAGGTACATATTAGAGTAATTAGGGAGTCTGATTACAAACACATTAACAAAAAAATAAAACTTTCATTTAGCGAAAGAACAATTATATTTGTGGTAATGTGTGGACGATTCTCTATCCGTGGCCTTTATTTTAATCTTCTATTGCTTAAATTATATTATGTTTGTTCTCATGTACCGATGGAAGAGTGGCTTGCATGGTTGGATGCATGGCATACAATGGCAAATGAAGAACAAAAAACTACATGATTCCTTATTTCCTTATGTAAATGAAACTAAAAAAATATAAAAGTGTAGTTCTTTTAGCGAAAATAAAGTAGATCCTAAATTTTTTATATATATATTTGTTGTATTAAAAAAAGGTAGGTCCTAGGATCCAACTTGTGAATGCATAGCTACGCCCTCTCGTGGCATGCAACACCATTTTTAATTCAATCAAAGTAATTGCTATAATTTTGAGAATTCTAATTATATATCACTATATTCTATATTTTTAACCATTTGTTGCTTTTAACTGTTAGATTCACATAAAAAAAGGAACAGATTGGATGCAAGTATGATGTTTGATGATTTGTAGATTCACACAAAGAAAGGGAACATGTATCCTTAGTAGACTATTTTTCCTTTTATTAGATCTTCATTGACTTGTTACATGTTTCTAAAGGTATGTCATATTGAATTAAGCATTGACGATGAGAATGTATCCACCAAGAGAAGAAGTAAGAGAGGTTATATTTTCATGCATGACAACCGTACTCCAACATATGGCAAGTTTTACTAGGTATCATAATCATACTTACTCTCTTTAAAGGCCTATTCTTCCAGCAACTCTTGATCATTATGTATTAATCATGATGATTTTGATTTGCAATTGCAAAAAAGACAAGATGAAATGGATGTGTGATTGCAATAAGACAACATAAAATGGATGTGCAACAAACACAACTAGAAGAAAAAATGACATCCATTTGAAACATTTAAACAGCCCATGCAGTAATCCGTCAAATAGTTCTTAGCATTATGTTTTTATTAAGTATTTGTAATGTATTTGACTATTTCAATGTATTTACCAAATTTTCATATAATAATTTTTTTACGGTTGATTATGAATGTAATTTTAGGTCTAATTTATTGGTTTTTTTTTCCTGCATTTTTGGTAAAAAAAAACCTGGATTTTATTACAATTATTATTTTTAAAACAAAACCATTGGATGTTAGAGAGATAAATTTGTCACAACAAATTAGAAAAATGTCCTAGGCAGCCTGTAGTAAAATACTTCCTAGGTGTAGGAAATGATTCCATAGGCAACCAATAGCTAATAACTCTATAGGGAATCCATATCCATAGATAATAATAAAAATATAAGCAATCTATAGTAAAACAAGTTAACAAGCTACGTCGGTAATTTGTATGTAAAAGTAGCTATAAGGGAATCCGTAAGTAAATTACCAACGAAAATTTCTATAGGTAGCATGTAGGAAATTACTTAGGCAATCTATCACAGCCAATCACTCACGAGTTATGTCCCTATGGAGCAGTTTCTGTAGGCAAGCGGTAGATAACCCGTTTTAACTACATGTTACCTTCGGAATGTGCTATAGCTAAAAGGGTAGTTTGCTAGTAGTGATATAACATATAAGGTAAAACTAATAATATTTCCAACAAAAAATGAATCTTACGGAGTAAAACTATCCATGGTGATGCAAACCAAAAATGGGGCCAACCTCATCTAACTTATTTCTGTTAAAAACATATGTTTGATGATGACATTGTTGTTAGCTTGTTACATGTCAATAACATGACCAATCACACATGCGAAGATTCTGCTGAGGAAAGGATGCTCGACCGTTACTCGTCTTTCGAATGAATCTCTTAAAAGTAAATTATTATAAAGATATTTTCCTCTTATTAATTATAATATTGACACATCTGACCTCACTTCATTAAAATTTAGTATTTAAAGGTGAGCGATTTCGGTATGCAAAAGAATTAGATGGGAGTAATTAATTAACAAATTGACAAATAGTTTAAATTGGCATAAGCTAATAAAAAGAGAGTTAATGAAACTACAGGGTCTTGGTTAAATATGATTTTTCATGTGGCTCCAACTCCAAGAAAGTCTATAAGTGGGGGTGAAATGTCAATATTAGCCTCAGAAAACTGCTGGCTTTGTAAAACTTGTGGTGGTGGTGTTACTGTCGTTACTGAATGAGTAGTACCAATGGCGGAATTATCTGCAACAGATGAGAAGGGGCTGCTGCTACTGTTGTAACCATGATGATGATGGTAATATTGATGATTTATGCCAGCAGTCATCATCATCAATGGTAATGCATGTTCATTTTGATCGTTGTGACGATCATCATCATGATGATATTGACGTTGATGATCGTAGAAATTAGTAGTGCTGATACTATTACCCATCATCCATGATGTGTTTGATGATGGTGATGATGATGATGATAACGTGTCCCAACATTTGTTCTTGCTGCTGAAGATGTGATCCATCATCATCATCATCATTTGATTGTTGTTCTTCCCACCTGAAAAATATGTCCATTTTGCATATACGGAAATGGTAAGCTATCTTTTTTGACACAAAAAGGTAACCAAATGCCATCAAGTCTCCTGCACAAACTTCTAATAACAAGTATATCATGCATTAGAACTTGTACAATGGTTTAGTCACTTCACCACGTTAAGGTACACACTAATGGTCCTTTCGGATATTGTCAAATTCTTTGACAACATTTTTGTTTTTGGAAATACATGATGTGAAAACTAAATGTATGGAAACTGACCGGAGATGAAACCAAGGGGTGGCTGTTGATGGAACATCGCATTGTAAGCTGGAGAAGCATCGGTGGGGGATTAAGATCTGCGGTGGCGGGGGTGGTGGTGGAGTGGCAGAAGGAGTGTCGGATCCTGAACCAGTTTGAGTGATGAACATTCTTCTCTTCCTATGAGCATTCGACTGTTCTCTATACTTTCTAGCCATGATTACATGCCAATGATTCTTGACGGCGTTATCAGTTCTACCAGGGAAAAGCCTTGCAATCAATGCCCATTTGTTGCCGTACATTCTGTGAGCAGTCATCAGCCTCTCTTCTTCTTCATCAGTGAAAGCTTTTCTGTTAATTCTTGGGTCTAATTGGTTAAACCATCTCAACCTGCAACTCTTCCCTAAAGAAAAACAAAAAGCACGGATTTTGTCAAACAAGAAAGACATATGAAAGCTAGGGTTAATTAATGAAAACATAAAAGGGTGTCTAATTTATAAAGTACCTGATCTTCCTTCTAGTTTCTCAGCGATAAGGTTCCAGTTCTGAGGACCATAAAGAGCCACAAGCTCCTTGAGTTTCGCATCTTCAGCGGGTCTCCAATGGCCTCTTGCACAAGTCTTGGTTGGTTTGATCATCATTTTACCATTGTTGAAGGTGCAACCTGCACCACTACTAAGGTTAAGATCAAGTTCTTCTTGTTCTTCTTCGTCTTCATCGTCTTCTTGGTTGTGAGAGCTGGTGGTGGTGATCATAAGAGGGAAGTCTAGAGAAGAAGAAGAGGAGGAGGAGGAGGAACGGATAAGATGGTGATTAGGGTTTGAATTAGGGTTTTGATTGTTTAGAGAGAGAGAACGGAAAGAGTCGGAAAATATCATCCCCGTATATTAAGAAGAAAGAAGAAGAAGAAGAAGAAGAGGTAATAGTTTCTTGGTTGTTGTTGTTGTAGTTTGATATATAAAGGAGATGTGTCTTGATGTTTGTGTGTAGGATAGAGACGTGCGTGCGGATGCTGCTACAAAAACGTCATATATTCTGGTTAAAGAAATCTTGAAATTGGGAGAGGTATTTGTGTGTGAAATTTGGAGCAGCTAGTAGAAACAGGAAAAGCATTCTTAACAGAAGTCTCAATCTTCTCTGCACACACTCGTGGGGTGGGGTGGGGTGGGATGTGAAGAAGGTATTTCACTAATTAATTTTGACATTTTAGACGAATTATTTAAAAGAAAATACAGTCTTGTTCTACATCATAAAGAAAATAAATGAAAAAAAAGGAGTGATTATTTGATTATGTGTTCTACTTTCTCGAAAAACTTGAAAAGATGGTACTTTTATTACCGATTATCATGTTTTGTTGTGAATTGTTTTATTTTTTAAAATAGGTTCATGCAAATATACTCTGATACTATACGTACACAGAAACTCATATACAATATAAAGAAATTGATATAAAGAAAAGAATAATAATTTTTGGGAAAGTTTTAGTCTTGACGTTTTTGTCTACTGTTAGAAATAACTTGGCCACATTGACAAAAGATTCTTGTTTTGTTTTTTCTTTAACTTCTTTATTATTCTAATGTAACATCCCTAAAGTATTAATTAAGTTACATTTAGTCCCCTGGTTGCTATTTTGTTCAGTTTGATTGCATTCGAATGAATTTTACTAAAAGCTTTCGTTTATGATTGTTTATGATTAAACTCGTATGTTTGCTACGACATATGGCTTTCTCTTTCCCAAAGATGGCTCATCAATCTGTTATTACTTGTTCATTTCTGTTCATTACAATGTTGCAACCAAAGCCATCTAAGGATTCACCTCTCAAACAATACTAGAATATTGAGAATCGACAACCACCAAAAACTTGCCTAGTTCGTCATTAAAATAGGTACATGTTATGATTGTCGAAGAGTAAGCCACGTTGATTTTAGCGAAGGATGACCCATGATAAATTAGTCAAAAAAAATCAATAGAAACCATTTCTTATAATAACAATATACATATGGTATTTTTTGTCGGTTGCAATTGCATCATTGGAGTAAATATTTGTGATAGTTATATTTGTTGTGCAATATTGAGATTGTGTCGTTATTGCGTCATGAATCTTTGTTTCCTTTTAATTTGTGGCTCGGCAATTTGTTGTTAGTTGTGTTAAAACTAGACTAACGTTTTGTTATTCATTCATTGCCACTTTTACATGATAATTCATCCCAAATTAATACACATGAAAACCATAAATAGTTTGACATGTCACAAATGAGTTTTATACCATTATCACTTTGGTTGCTTAACCTTTATAGTGTGTTGAGTTTTACAACTCCTCACAATGCGATGATATCTTCAGTTGTTTCATTTTTGTTCTTAAGAAATTAGGTGACCACAGAAAAGCTACTAACTCGCAAATAATATGCAGTACACATAAATCTTTTACCTTCTAAACTAGAAGTAGGAACTGGTCCAAATAAGTCCATGTACAGCATGATTGAGGTTGTTATGGAGAAATAGTATTTTGACATAAAGGAAGCCATATGTTGTTTTTCTTTCTCACAACCTTTGTATAATCTATCTTTTGAATATTTAATATATGGTAAACCAATTACCTAATTATATGTTGTCAACCTTCAGATATTCTAGAAAAAGTAATGTAACACTCATTTGTGACATAGTCATGACAACTGTGTGTATTTTGGGTTAAAGAAAACTTTGACTTACAGATAAACTAACTCAACATTCAACACATATCTATCCTTTGGGGTTATAGAACTTTTATTTTATACTTCCTCTACATAAGTTGTTTTCCTTATAAGTTCTTGATTACATCAAACCTTAACATGATCCTCCTCAAGGTTCACATCACATCCCTTCATCTTCCTAATGATGTAAGTTAATTATTAGTTCTGTTTAATAATATTTCTTAATGTTGATTATATTGTTAATTTTCTAAATTTGAATTCCATATGTCAATATATTAAAGTAAAAAGCCTGATTGCTTATAAAGCAGTTTAAAATTCTTAGAAGAATTTCAAAGCAATAATAACAAATACCCTCCCACTAATTATAGTATGATTAAACAAATTGTGAAAATTGTTGGAAAGAACTCACATATGTACATAACATTTGTACTCACTAATATTGTAGCTAACTTCCCAATATATCATCATAGTTAGGCCGACATTGTTAAGACCGGTAGATCTTATATATTAGGCTTGAAGCACTATTATTGATCAAACAGGTTTAGTAAAATGATAAGGCTCATATAATTAGAATAATTATGAGCATATATGAAAGATCTGTATTCTAAATAATCATTGTAGAATGACATTTTATAATAACATATGATCTAAAGGTCACACCAACAATAACTTGATGAAAATATATTATTTATAAAAATCTTATTGTTGATATATATATTTATAACTCTTTTAATTAATTGGAAATTATTTATTAAAATAAAATTTTAATTTTTAACGATAAATATCATAATATATCATAAAATATGATTTATTAAGTCATGTATATCTTTTGGACTAAAATGACTTTTGTCTTTTAGCTAAATAGATAAGACTTTATAATATATAAAAAATGAGAGATTTTTTCATAAAGATCTCTTTCTTGTCTTAGTAAAACCGTAAGCATGGAGAGGGAAGAAGCTAGTCATGCTTTTCATTATTACTAATGTAAGGAACATACTTCTAAAGTAAGGCTTGACATAATCATGAAGCTTGGGTCTTGAAGTGTTAAGACTCATGGAATGAAGACTAAACGGAAAGAGCTTATAAGTTGGCTATTCTCGTCCTTTTTACTATTGATGAATTCCACCACTTTATCCCTCTATTCCTTTCATTGCTAGGTTTTATATGCATCAATACACTTAAACTAGTTAGTGGATAAATCAACAATAATATACCTATGTGTATATGCAATCTAGATCTATGTTTCATAGTAATTAAAGTTACCCTACGAAAAACGTAAATAAGGAAGAACTACATACCTCTTTTGTTGCTAAAGCCTTTCGAGCTTGGGACCTCGTGCGTACCACCTTGCTTGGATGAAAAGGACCCAAACTAGAATCTCTCTCTTAGTTCACACCCAATAAACTCAAAAGAGTAGAATAATAAAATAAAAAAAACTACAAAGGAAATGTTCTAACTAAGAGTACTTCCACAATATGAAGGGAGAATAATAAGGAAGAGTTAATCCAAGATGAGCAATGAAGAATGAATCCCTATTGACCTATGTATAGCCTTGGGATACCTTCCTAGGTTTTATACTCCAGCCCATGTAGGATGGGATGAAAATTTCGAAATCCACCCTATGGGATAAGGATATTTCGCCCCTTCCTTCTTCCATAGGGTTTTAAAATATTCATGATTAATCAACTATTGATTAATTGATATTCAATCCTTTAATGAAACTGTTAATTAATTCCCATATTATTTTCCAATTAATTTCGAATTAATTACTAACTCATAATAATTAATAAACTAATTTCTCCTTTTGTTTATTCTACTTAATTTGAGCTTTGAGGGCAAACCAAAAGAGCTATGTGATTATTAAGAATATTACCATTAGTTAATTACTTTGGACACCTTTTCCATAGACTCCCACTTGGACAAGTCATCAATTATATGAGGTCTAATACTTTTCTAATAGTCATTAGAAATAATATCATCTAATGCATTTTTTTACTCTGATCTAATTAACACCAGCCATCAGATAAGTGATCAACTATTCATTTTTTCTATCGGACACCCTTATGAATTCGAGACATGGATAATGAACAATCTCAGAATTAAAGATTATGTTTCCTGAGAAAGATTTGTGACGACTACATCTGACTACTGCATTGAACACATCAATTCCAGTCAGGACTCAAAAAAGTACTTAAGATGTCAGCACCAAATCATCGAGATACCCATAGATACCGCTTCTCCAGTTATGGTAGAAGGAACGAATACACTTTAACTATATGTTTTTCTGTCTATTTCATCATATCATACATGGACATACCATGTATTGCTACCAATTACGATAACATTGGAGTAAGCTAAAACACAATAGAATCATAGAGGAAAAACCCCACATGTATCAAGGTTTGAAGAATAGAAGATATTATTGTCTTAGAATTATTCGCGACTGAAACCATGAAGTAATATCTAAGCGTGGGTTGTTCTAATACTTCACTCGCTATTAGTTACACATGATTTTTAGTGTAATCACTAGGATATGTACAATTACTATGGTGAATCCACTACTACTCATGACAATCTTAAATGGCTACTTACTTCCAAGAGTATGACCATTGTAAAGATCTGCGTAAATTAATACTCGAGAAGTGGTTCTAAACATGATAAAGTGAAACACAGTAATAAATTAATAGAAATGATAGCATCAATGGCATTTTATTAAGTCTCCACAAAATAAGCATCAAACCAGTTACAATTTATATTGTTTAAATGTTTCAAGAATTATCAAACCAACAACTAAACATTTACACCATATCATCTGCAAATCTAATGCATATAGATCTAGTATGACTATAATGCTTGATCTTTGATAATGGCTTTGTGAACAGAATAGTTGGATTATCCTCTAATGAAACTTTATGCACGACAATGCATCCTTCCTCAACGTGATTCCTAACATTGTGGTATTTACTGAGTATATGTCTTGAGTTACCATGGTCCTTGGATTTTTTAGTCCATGCTATTGTACACTCATTGTCATGGAAGATTTCCATAAGATCCTTGATGCTCGGAACGACACCAAGATCATCAATAAATTCTTTAACAAAATAGCTTATTTTTTTGAATTCATTAGTTGCTATGTACTCTGACTCACAAGTAGGGTATGCCACCATCTTCTACTTGGAACTCTTCCAAGTTACCACTCTTCCATTAAGCAAGAATACCCATCCGGACTGAGAACATGGTTTATCTCTGTTAGTTTGGAATCTTGCATCAGTGTAACCTATAATTCTTAACTCATCTTTGCCAGCATATACGAAGAACATATCCTTTGTTCTTCTTAGGTATTCTAAAATGTTCTTTACTCCAGTCTAATGTCTTTCGCTATGATTGTCTTGAAATCGACTCACCATGCTCAGGGCATATGAGACATTAGGTCGAGTACATTTCATGACATATATGATCGATCCTATTGTAGAAGCATATGGAACTCGACTCA